TAGTCATTGCCTCAAATGCTTATATTTTGTTGTCTTACTAGGTAGAGTCTTAAAGTTATTGTTAGTCTTGGGACCTTCACCTCTGCATACTTACATATAGTTAATATACTTACATATAGTTGACATACTTACATATGTTAACAGTTTGTCCTTTTATTTAGTAGTTATAAGTAATACCTTTGAACTTAGATGGCTTAAGAAAACATAGCAAGCACAGATAACACATAATCATTTGTTAAAACTTAAACCCACACACACACATTAAATGACATATATTAGTGAAAACTAGAAGAGACTAGAAGACCTTTAGAAGACCTTTACTATAGGAATGTGATTTAGCCCAGTTGATTCAATACTAAAAAACAGAAAATGCTGAGTGACTGTATGAATCAATGCTCACATTTTATAAATTAACAAGTGATGTGCATGCTCCAAATGAAAAAAATCAATGAGAAGTTCACTGCCTGGCCCGAGTAACACTGTTTATCTAACAGCTTTTAAATCTGTAGATAACTCATCTGGTTAGATGATTAACATTCCAACAGAGTTGTTTTTCTTTTTCTAAAAGAGAAATAATCTTGGGAATACACACAGACACAAGTGCAATGCGTTATTATTATTTTTTTTATTGAGAACAGAACAGAAGCCACTCACAGCTACTATTCTAATTATTAGGACTGAGAACTGAATCCACCTTGTTAATATGACTTATATGTTTTTTCAAGCAATACTCTACTCGGGAAGGTAAGAATATAAATGACAAATAATTTTACTCTGAGCTTCATGGAAGTTGTACAAACCAACTTAGGCAAATAGTTTTCCTGTCTAGATAAAGAGTTCTCTTAGGGTAATAGATCACTCACCTGCCAAACATGTCATTCATCAGGCAATATTTTGCTTCTGAGATCTTCCCAAAGACCCCAGTTTTAACAATTCTATCTGTTTCATACTGTAAACCTTCTCCTAATGCCTGTCTAAGAATTGTCTATACCCCAACACAGTAGATACAAGACTTCATTCTTTCAAACAAACAAATATATCATCAAGGTTGTATGAATCTATTACAACAGATCTGAAGAGTAGCTTTCCTGAGGGACAGCTGTTTGCTCTGTGCTTTGAAGTATAATGGCTGGTGAGGTGAGCCATAGAATGTCTCTACCACCACTCTGCTGCCATCCACACCATCCACAGCAACTCTACCAGCCAAATACAATCAAGTCCTTTCAGTTTTTGTGTGAGAGAAAACATACCAAGATTAAAACGTTTCTCCTACCTACAGCAGTGGCTCTCAACCTTCTTTTTTTTTTTGGTTTTTACAAGACAGGATTTTTCTGTATTGTTTTGGAGGCTGTCGGTCCAGCCCAGCCTCTAACTCACAGAAAAATGCCTGCCTCTGCCTCCCGAGTGCTGGGATTGGCTCTCAACCTTCTTAATGCTGTGAATTTTTAATACATGTTCATGTTGTGGTGACCCCCAGCCATAAGATAATTTCTGTTGCTACTCTGTAACTGTAATTTTGCTACTGTTATGAATGTAATATAAATATCTGTATTTTCCAATGGACTTAGGTGACCCCTGTGAAAGGGTCTTTTGTCCCCCACGGGTCAGAACCCAGAGGTTGAGAACCACTGATCCGCAGTTTATCCTATCAATCAGAATTTGATTCATCTGAGCAAGCAAATGCTGTTAGCTCATACCTCTTAACTCTGCAGCCTCATGATCACACTGGGATTTGAATACAACGCACACAAATAATACTGTCTAGACTAAGTGAAGCTTGGTGTGTTATATAATATTCCAAAGTTTCAGGTACTTCATCTGTAAAAGAATGGTGATAAACATAATAATATGGGCCAGGGTAAACTGCTAGCTGGACAAACATTAGGATCTGAGGTTGGATTCACAGCACCCACAAAAAAGTAAGGCATGTGAGTGTGCATCTGTAATTCTGGTGCTGAGGGAGGCAGAGTCAGGAATGTTTCTGGAACTGACTGGCCAGCTAATTCATCCACATTAATGACCTTCGGGTTCAATGAGACTCTGTCTTGAAAAAATAAGGTGTCTGGTATCAGGATGACACCTGATACCAACCTCTGGTGTTCATACTCACACCCACAAAAGTTCACAAAACACAGGAACACACACACACACATACAACATTCACACAGAAAATAATGATGATATTTTCTAATTTATTATTGGCACCCCTCACATTGACTACAACCAACAATCTTCCCTGGTTTTAGCTCTATTTGTTTCTGTGTAAGGGAAGATCAGAACCTAAGACATACTGGTTTTGGATCTGATCATAACTGGTATAGAATGCACCTCTCCAGATAGGAAACTGAGTGTAACTGGATAAAGTTTATGACATAAAATTGATAGATTTGGAAAAGCACAGAGTCCTAAAGAAACTCTAGAAAGTAAAATACTTCCAGTATTTCATAGTCCAGGAAAGAGATAAAAAAATTTACAAAGTTCAAAATAAGTTTTCCTGAAAGAACACCCAGTGAAAACAAATACTCAGCCCCACTAATGGGTTTCTTATTAGTCAATACTTGCACAAAGACTTTTACCTATCTCTGCCTCTCCTGTCATAAATAGCCCCAATGAATCAACTGTGACACCCTCCCCCAAGGGTTGGAAGGCTTGGGAATCACCCCAGGAAAGGAGACAGAAAGAATGTAAGACCCCAGAGAAGCAGTGCTATAAAGTGCTGGCCTCTGGACATCATAAAATCACTAAGAAGTTTTGTGCATGGTGATAGACATGGATCTATATGCAGTCTTCTACATGCCAGCATCCAGTTATGCCAGCACCATTTGTTAAAGATGCTATCTTTTTTCCATTGTATAATTTTAGCTTCTTTGTCAAAGGTCAGGTGCTCATACATGTATGGGTTAATATTGGGGTGTTCAATTGGATTCCATTGGTCTACCTGTCTATTTATGTGCCAATACCAAGCTGTTTTCAGGACTATAGCTTTATAATAGACTTGAAGTCAGGGATGGTGATGCCTCCAGGTGTTGCTTTGTTGAACAGGGTTGTTTTGGCTATCCTGGGTCTTTTGTTTTTCCATGTAAAGTTGAGAATTGTTCTTTCAAGGTCTGTGAAGAATTATGCTGGGATTTTGATGGGGATTGCATTCAATCTGTAGATTGCTTTGGGCAAGATTGTCATTTTTACTATGTTGATCCTACCTATCCAAGAGCATGGGAGATTTTTCCATTTTCTGGTATCTTCTTTAATTCCCTTCTTTAAAGACTCAAAGTTCTTGCGATACAGGCATTTTACTTGTTTGGTTAGCGTTACCCCAAGGTATTTTATGTTATTTGTGGCAATTGTAAAATGTGATGTTTTTCTGATTTCTTTCTCAGCCCTTTTATTGTCTAAATATAGTAGGGCTACTCATTTCCTTGAGTTGATCTTGTGGCTTGACACTTTGCTGAAGGTGTTTATAAGCTGTAGGAGTTCCCTGATAGAGTTTTTTGGGTCACTTAGGTAAACTATCCTATCATCTGCAAATAGTGAAAGTTTGACCCCTTCCTTTCATATGTACTTACTCATATATGGATTTTAGACAAGGAGCAGGGCAGTGCCAACCTACAATCCCACTGCCAGAGAGTACAGGGAGAACCTTAAGAGAGATATGCATGGCACCCCAGAGAAGGGGAATGGAGCAAGATCTTCTGAGCAGATTTGGAGCATGGGGGGAGGGGAGAGGGAGCTGGAAGAAAGGGTTGGGGAGAAGAGGAGGGGAGAAGAATACATGGGGGAGCAGGAAGGTTGAGTTGGGTGGAGAATAGAGGAGAGCAGGATGAGAGATACCATAATAGAGGGAGTCATCATAGGTTTGAGGTGAGATCAGACATAGTGAGATTTCCAGAGATCTACTAGGATGACAACAGCTGGCAAACTAAGCAATAGTGGAGAGGCTACATTAAATGCCCTTCCCTAATGAGTTTGACAACTACCTTATATGCCATCCTAGAACCTTTATCCAGTGGCTGATGGAAGCAGAGGCAGACACCCACAGCTAAACACTGAACTGAACTCCTGGAACCAAGTGACAGAGAGGGAGGAGTGATGAGCAATGGGGTCAAGACTGGGCTGATGAAACTCACTGAGACAGCTAACCTGAACAGAGGGGAACTCTTGGACCCCAGACTGATGGCTGAGAGGCCAGCATGGGTCTTATCCAGAACCCCTGAATGTGGGTGTCAGTGAGGTGGCCTAGGCAATCTATGAAGCTTTGGGTAGTAGATCAGTATTTATCCCTGGCATGCAAGTGGACTTTGGGTGCCCATTCCACATTGTGGGATGCTCTCTCAGCCTGGACACATGGGGGAGGGCCTAGGCCCTGCCCTGGATGAAATGACAGACTCTGGAGATCTCCATGGAGGCCCTCACCCTCCCTCGGGAGCAGAGTGAGAATTAGGCAGAGGGCTGGGAAGATCGTGGGGGGGGCTGGGGAGGAGGAAAGGGAGATGGAGCTGGGTTTGACATGTGAAGAAAGCTTGTTTCTAATTTAAATAAAAAGATAAAAACCACCAAGAAAATTATGTGTGTATATGTATAATTTTTCATACAAACAGCCCCCCCAGATTATTTTTTTCTCCTGATTTTTCCCTTTTTAGGTTCTTCTCCAACAGGGCTGCAGAATGGTATTTTTCTACTGTAATAAGTTTAACAAATTGAGCCCTGCTCACTCAGCTGTTTTTTGGAACTCCTTGTAGGGTTTGACAGATGACACAGGCTGTGCCCTCAATATATCACATGTATTAGTTTCCTTAATGCTCAAATGCATTCTGTAAAGTAGGCACTATTATCTCTATTTTACAGAAAAAATAATTGACTACCATAGAAACAATAGAATGTAAGGACTTTGTGTGTATGTGTATGTGTGAATCACATATATATAGCATGAAAACAAATTACAGCGTTGGCAACCTAACACAAAGCCAGGATTCCTGAGTTTGATTGATTTTCTTCTGTTACAGTAATAATCCAGAGGACATGATGACATTACCCGGGAAATCTACTATAAATACTTCAGTAATGGGAAAATCATGTACATTTTTCAAGTCCTTGAAATGCTTGGTCAACAAGAAGCTATAAATGAAGAAATAGTCAGGATATGGCCAAGTCTCACATGTGAAAAATAATGTAAATACCTACTATACATATTTTGATTTCCTTCTTCTCTCTCTCTTTCTTCCTCCCTTCTTTTCCCTCTTAGTTGCCTAGCCCTCCTCTCCCTGCTCGTGTTTTGTCTTTTCTTCCTTCCGCTTGTTTTGTTTTTAGAAATATGAGCCTTACTGTCCAAGCTGCCTGGAAGTCACTATGCGCACAGCCTGGCATTAAGCTCATGGCAGTCTTCAAGCTTTGGCTTTCCCACTTCTGCAATTACATTAATGTGTCCTCGTGCTTAGCTTTGTTGCTGTAATCTTCAAGAATACATTGTACACAAATAAAAGAAAACGATGTACTCTTTTGGTGTGCATGTGTGGACAGAGGTATTCATTTCTGTCCATTTCTGGGCTTTGCTAAATTGTGAACAATACAGCATCATTTTATTTTTAAAAAAGAGACTTTTTGAGTTACAGAAAAACATTAAAGGGTCAGAGTTCCATATGAGCCATGTGTGAACATTTTTATCAAGGGGCGTATGCCTTATCTGTGGAAAGAGTTTGTCACACCTTTAAATTGTTATAACTGTCGGAGTGAACAGAATGTTGGTGGAGTATTCAGCTACAAACTGTATCATACCCACTGCCCTGATCTTGGAAACTACCAAAGAAGAAAGATTGGATAGACTGAGAATCCCAGGTCATGGAGGACAACTGAGAAACTTTCATCTGGATATAAGAAGACCTTTGTGTTTGTGAGCTCACAGAAACCATGTTTCTCAGCACAAGACTTGCGCAAGATCAAGCCAAACAACATTCTAGCATGTGGTGGGAAACAGGCTCAGGAACTCCTACATCTTGTTGATAGAATGTTTTCTGTCTTACTAGGTTCCCTCTGCCGTGGAGCCCCAATAAACACACAGATGCTATATATTAACCTGTTGGCCAATGACTAGGTCTTCTTATTGGCTAGCTCTGAATTAACTATTAACCCATTTTTATTAATTTATGTATTTCCACGTGATCTTGGCTTACCGGAGATTGCCTGATGTGTCCTCTCCTCCTGGGTCTACATGGCGACTCTTGTCTGCCTACATTTCCCAGAATTCTCCTCATCTCCTAGCCCCACCTATCTTTCTCCCTGGCCAATCAGTGTTTTATTTATCGATCAATACGAGAAACGTATACATAAGAACATCCTCATCAAATTCTAACTAAGGCTTTATGGACAATTGATGGTTCTTGGGAGAAAGAAAGTCTGTAAAAAAACAGAACATGAACTTTAGTAAGCTGACCATACTCTAGTGGACGACCCCACACCTGGAAGTATATGGGCATGAAAAATTGGAGTTAATGAGTTATTTTTAAAAAGAGAGAAGACACTAAAACATTAATTTGTGGGTGGTTATGGGCAGAACTAGGGAGAAGAATTGGCAGTGAATATGATTAAAGTATATTATATGACCATCTCAAAGAATTAATAAAAATATTTATACTAAAAGTACCTTAGGTTTTGTTCTTCAAATGGTTGCTATCATTGTAGAACAAAACCAGGCACATGCAATTTACACATTGCTTATGTCTATAAAATTTAATTTGCAAAAGCAGCTAATAGGCTGTTCTGAGGAAGCAGGCATCATTGTCCTGGCCACTTTTCTAGGTGTGATTCAGAAAGGATGTATGGGAACAAGGGTTCTAACCAGCATCTACTTCCTGTTCAGCTTACCATCCTGAGAGGTACCCATGTAGCACCCTTTCCTCGTTTCTGTTACTGTGACCTAATTACTTGGCCCACTCATGACAATTAGTACTGTACTCCTGTGGCTCCTGTGACACACACACACTAAGGAGCAGTAAGAAAACCCTGGGTGGAAAACAAATGATTTGGCTACTGTATTGTGCCTTCTAGAAAGCCTGTGGGGTGGCATTGCTGCTCCCAGGAGTGTCCTTCAGAGAAGGCAATCGATGAGCAAGTTTGGGCAACAACTTCAGTAGAGATGAAAGTGTTATTTCGTCAAATTCAATGTACAATCCAGTTTCATTATTTTAGGATATAAAACTGTTTGGTGATTAACTTTGTTTATACTTGGCAAAGCATCACTTCCTTTGCTGAGGAGGAAAAAGACAAAAAAGCTCATAAAATTTTCAAAAAGCTTTTTGACTTCAAACAGCTCTTACAAAACTGCATTTGGATGAGTCAAGTGTGGAGGAATCAAAACCATATGGATTTCTCTCCTTTTAAAATAAACACCAACTTAAAAATTGAAGGAAATTTTCTTGGTAAAGAAGACTTTGGCCTCCTCAGACAATAAATAGTAAAAAGCAACTTTATGAAATTTGATAAACCCAAATCACAGCTGGGTTTACCCATTCTTAATTATAGTGTTTTCACTGTATATCATGTAAAAATAAACAGCTCCTGGAGTGGCCTATATTCAGCAATTTTGAGAGCATAGAAATTTTCATTTATCGGTCAAGAAATTTTTGCCCAAATCTTGAATTTGAAGTAAATTTCATTGTTACATTTGAAATGCCATATTGTAAAACATTAGCCATTCCTTGTATTTTATTTTCAGATATAGAAACTTGCTGCAAACTAGAAATTACAATTTGTTGAGAAATGGCAGTAAGGGATCATGCCTGAAATCCCAGAACTCAAAAGCTTGAGGCAGAGTTTAAGTTTAAGGCCAACCTGAGCTGCATGGTGAGCTTGAAGTTAGCTTGGGCTTAAAAATCAGATCCTGTCACAAAAGAAATTATAGATAGACAAACAGGGAGGGGAAGGTGGGAGAGGGAGGGGACAGAGAGAGATAGAGACAGGAAAGGGGAAGAAAATAAGGAAGTCTTTGGGGAAGGGAGGAGGAGGAAAGAATGAATGAAGGTAGGAAGGGAGGGAGAGAGGGAGGGAGGGAGGAAAAAAGAGAAAATGTTGAGATATGTCTGTAAACAGTTTTTAAAGATTTTTTTCTTTAAGCTTACCAATATGCAATATCATAGGAAATGTGACATTGATGTTGTTAACCAAAGGGCAGAAACCATAAAGGAAAATCCCAAAAGCAGTCTTAATTGAAATTTTATCTTTTCTTTTGAAGATATTGTTTATTATTATTTATTTTGTGGTAATAAAATAAGTTTTTTTAGAAAACAATTTTTATAACTTGATAAACTATAGTTTTGTCTGTTGGAAAAGTTGCTTTAATGTGTAAATAGATGACAAATGGTGTAAAGAGTTTTGTAAGAGACTTCACGATGTTTATATGTGGACACCTACATCAAAAGCATAACCCAGCTGCTGTTTGGCTTCTTCGTTCCTTATCTTTGTATTGTGGTCATTTCCTATGCAAACCTCAGAGAAAACAGCTGTAAAGTTGTAGAATAGAATTTTTTGAGAGAATGAGATGTTTATATACTAATGACATTTTTTTGAAAATAAATTTTTTTCACTGTGTGTACCCATGTGAACCTTCTATATATGTGTAGTATTTGTGTATAGAAGACCATGGGAATCATAGGACAGCATTAGAGTGTTACGAGTGACCATGTAGGTGCCAGGAACTGAAACTTAGGTCCTTTTTGAGAGCAGTAAGTGCTTGTAATTACTGAATGATCTTTCCAGGCCCTATCTGGACACATCTCTGATATGATGATAATTCCTGATTATAGTTTCATGTATGTTTCATTTGCATTTTCATAAAACCTAAACAATGAAAAACTGGTACCTTATTTAGGTAGAATAAGTAATCTATTTGGATGGATATTGATATTACCAAAAATAATCCAAACCAACTTTTCTTAATTATAGACTATATAAATTTCACCACGTCAACCAATCTTTTATTCATTCCTTAACTATGTAATTAATACCAAAAGTTCAAAGACATGGAGGTGTTATCTCTTAGTGATGCTCTAGGAACAAAAGACGAAAGGTAGTTAAATAGATTCTTACATCTTAGATGTTTCATGTCATGAGTCAATATCAGTAGTGACCAGAAGAGATTATGATCATTCCCATGATAAGGTCAAGGTTTCTTAGTCAAAGGGCCATGTGTGTAGGGTCATAGCAGGCCAGCACTATTTTTGATATAAAAGAGAAACAGCAATATATATAGAGGAAATAACATGCATGAAAAATTTGTAGAATGTAGGGTTTTCCTAAGTAACAGTATAGATGGAAGGAAAGAGTAAGAGATAGTATCAAGACAGGGCATACAGAACTTTGCAAGTCCAAAGCTAACAGGTGCTTCTTAAAGTCTGTTATTATCTGTAGTGAGAGCAACAGTTTTGATAGCTGATTGCAGAACAAGATTGGGAAAGACAATAGAAGTACTTAAATAATAAGGGAGCTGGTTAGGATTTTGCAGGGCACAGTGGTAATTTTGATGGGTGTGGAGCCTTCCAAAGTCATTTGAATTCATCTGGGTGGGCGAGGAGGAAGAGGAAGTTGGCAGCGCCTCAAGCTGGGTCAGGGGCTGTGTGTGGGAAACTTCTTTAGTCCCTTGTATGATGTTTGCTGTCTTGTCCAGTTCCAGCACGTGCTGGCCATCCAAAACTGACAATTACCCAAAAAAGTCGACAGGAAGCAGGCTTATACAAAATTTCTTTTATGAATGAAACTTCTCATTTCTCCTTCCTGTGAAAGATAGACAAACACTTCTCATGAAGTGTCTACAAGCAGCAGGAGGCAGAGGCAGAAGTTCAGCTTTGTTAACTTTGATCTGTTTTCACTGTTGGTTCATCACTGAACCCATTTCTTTCTTAGTAAAATGGACATAAAATGTAACTAACAGGAATGAAATTAGTCTAATACCAACATGGTTCTTAAAGATTATTTCTTTTTCTTTTCTTTTATTTCCCTTCCCCATTGACTGCTATGACCTGGAATATCTTCATCTTAAAATACTTGAAACACATTTCCACAAATAGGCAAATCAATGGGAATTTACATGTAGCTTCTCATGGTCATAAAATTCCTTGTATAATTGTCAAATAAATGTACTTCATTTTGATTGAAGAATCACTACTCAAAATTTCACTGAACACTCCTCAAATAAACAATCATCTTCCAAGAGAGTCCAGCTTGGTACTCATTCAAACAAAACAAAAGAGTAAAAAAGAAAATATTTTAATACTACGTAGACTCAAGCCACTTAGTACAGATAGTTAGGCTAAAAGAGCAGTTCATAGCCCCCAGCATCAAACAATCCTGTTATTGGCCAAAGGGAAGGGCCCAGAGGTACTCAATTACTAACCATGGCAAGGGGCAGAGAGGGGAGAATAAACTAAGATTTAA